ATTTTCAGGGATAAAGTGATAGGGATAGAGAAGAGACTCTGTTAAGTTAGAATTCCAGGTTGAAGGATCAAATGTTGAGTACTCCATAATCGTTTTCTTTGAAAAGGGATGAGAGAAAATTAGAAAAGTTGGTATCTCTGATGACTTCGGATGCTGTTGGTTGATTCAGGGGTTGGAAATGAGGTTTGCCTTAGCCATTTATAGGCAAAAGGGGTGGCGAGCTTCAAACTTTAAAGGTGGAAGTAGAAAATGATTGGCTCCTGAAAAACATGTATCTTGGGAAATTGGAAAGCCCATGTGAGGTGTACTAACCGATTGCGGGATTCTGCACTAGCTATGACTAGACAACTGATAAAGGTTTCTAAGGGGCGTCTCCATCCCCCTCTATAAGATCCATTGAAAAAGATAGGCAAGTGGTTTACGTTCGTGGGACCAAAAAATCTTTAGCCAAGAAATATCAGATGATGCTCCGATACAGTTTATGGTGCTCTGCTGCATTGGTGCTTGCATTCTGTAATGGCTACTTGAGCAAGTGGTTGCGGTGCCGAAAAGGAGTTCTCAGATGTGCAAGACTGGATTGGTCAAAAAAGACGACTACAAGTTGCCAAGCATCTAAATGATGTGCTGCTAACTGCTAAGCATACTACTATTGTAGCTTGGTGAAATTGGCTGCACCAGAATTTCCAAAATTACTGGGAATTATATATTTTGATGAGTTTTGATGTTTGTGAAAAAAAAAAATTTCTTTTTGGTTTTTAATGTTTGTTTGTAAAGAAAGAATATCTGTTCTTTGTGTCTGCCTGTTTGCAGGGTATTGAATCATTTAAAGGTACAGTACATATCTTGAAAATTTTAGCCAGTGAAAGCTGAGTGATGATGATGATGAGTAAAAGTGAAATCTAAAAGCGCTTTCGGCATGACCACGATAAGGACATTATTAGAAGCAATCAGCTCCAAGAACTACTGGTGTTTCGAGCTTCAACAACATATTAACTACACAAAGGACAAGATCTTGCTGAGATGAATAATTGGCTGCAACGTTGATTAAATACAGCAGCTGCGGCCAAGCAAAAACAGCCAAAAATAGAAAAATTATAACAACAAATCAGTACATGTCCTAAACGTGATTAGATTACTCATCAGTGTTTCTCTTCCACAAGAATTTATTAAGTTGCGGCATGACAGCAAAACCATAATTCCAGGTTAGTACTCTCTGATAAATTGTGGATCAGGTATTTACTCCTAGCAGAAAACCATTGCTATAGGATGGAAAATTGCTAGAAGGCCCATAATTCCTAACTGGAGACCTGAAAGGATTTGGTGTCATAGGATAGCTAATATGCAAGCCTGCACTACGAAGAACTTGTTTGGCACTTGAGCTTGAAATCTCAGACTGACAAGAGAAGAAGGCTGGATGTTCCCTCAAATTTATCAAGTCAAGTGCTCCAACCCAACTTGCATTGGTCTCCAACTCACAATTTAAAGCCAAGATAACTTGCGGACTAGGAAGGTAAGCAACTTCCTCTTGATAAATACCTCTTACAAAATTGATCCTGACTCTGCTGCTTACTCCAGATGTTGTCCCAGATAAATTTGTTGGTACTTCAGGGCCAATCATAAACATCTGTATACTGCCCAGACCATTGAGCAGATGACCGATCTCCGCAAACGCTGGCATCCAATCCAACTCCCCTTTAGGTCCAAGGTAGTGAACAATCACCTCTTTGCCTTTCAGTAAAAGGTTTTTGGAACTGACACTAAGAGCAGTTAATGCGTAGTATACTGTCAATGGATGAGAGAGAATGTCAGCAACAGGGCTTGACAAGGGCAAAGACCGAAGGTTGTAATACTCAGACCAACCAGAAAGGAGGATTACGCTTGACAAACCGTCCCTTGTATAATCATCAATGGGTGAATCATGAGGATATTGATCGTCGTCCAGGTCACCCCATGAATCACGAAGGTCACCTTCAATAGGAAGTAAGCCATAGAACCAGCGGGAAAAGCAATTACACTTTCTTTTCCACATGCCTTTCTGGTGTACACCCAACGATTCAAGCCATTTACATGGTTGTTCCGCTGAACAATTGAACATAAAAATTGTCATGGCCAGCTCTTCTTCTCTTTCCATCATGGCCTTGCACAGAGCGCATGTATCCTTATGTGCAACATTCCAGTCTTGATGCTGGCAGAGAGAACTACAATACACTATTGCACCACAGCGGCCACAACAAATTGATTGCTCACCACTAATCTCTTTCTCACACATCATGCACAGTCTGAAGCTGCCCACTGAGTCCATATCAACTAAAGTCTCCTCCTTAGATGGTTCTGAGAGCTTGGTAGGAGTTGAGCTGGCCGTTGAGCTATTCTGTTCCTCATACCTGTGGCCAGGAGGGTGTGAAACTGTAACAGCAACAAGATCATTCCCTCTTGCCATTTCCAGGGGCCATTGGACATCAACTGTTTCAATAAATGATTCAAAGTACATCATTCGAGACCACTTTGGTGCTGCATCATAATCTTGCCTAAGGAGAGGATGCACTAAAGGAATGGCTCTTAAAACAGCATACGCAAACTTAAGCTCTTCAAGAGTAGGATTTCTGAACTGAAGTTCAACAGATGACGTGCAGCGAACAACGTCAATAACCGGAAATCGATCAGTCCCCGAGACCTCCAAAGCTAATGACTTTATCATTCTCTTATTTGAAGGGAACATGATTGACTCCAGCTCATAAGTCACCCTCAAAAGCTCAGTGTTTGGAACTCGAATAGTCTCCCTAGAAGCAGTCATTTTTTTTGCATCATCATGAGCCCTGAACATGTAAATCCCTATATCCCCACCATTCCCACCAATAAACTGAACACAAGGAAATGGCTGTTTTCTGCTAGACCAGTCTGAATCCTTCCCCACCTTTATACCAAACAAATGCTCTGGGCGCAACCACTTCCATGGATCAGTCCTGTACAAAGCAGCGGCGGTTCTGTACAGAGACTTAATAAAAGGTGGAGTAATGCCATCCACCTTCAACAAACATGTTCCTGATCCAGGACCAAGTCCTGGGCCACACCCAAATTGTTCTTGATATCTAGTAAACAAATTCTTCAAATGCACATCCATAGTAACTTCCCCACACCCGCAGAACCGATCGACCAAACTTCTTGAAAACCCACAAACAATTTAGACCTCCAAGTCTAGCAATTTAACTCGGGCATATCAGTTCTATCAGAATTTCCAACTGGTTCAAGACTACCCCTTTCAATGATATTTTGCCTCGAAACAGCCAACCCACAAATTACATACAAGAAAGAAGTGATCTTTACTCACTTCAACTATAATGAAAGCTATTGAAGCATTTCTGAATGAGGGATCACACGATTTCTTGAATTAAGCCACTGATAAAAGCATGGATCAAAAGCTAATCTCGTGTATGCGCAATTCAATTTGTAAATAGTATGTACTGCTGAATAAATAGTTGTTGATAAAGACCTTGAGTTCGTGTTCGTACCAGCTCCATGCCTCTGCTCTGCATTTCCATTTTGCTGCCTGAACCGAACTATTCAAAGCTGAAGAGTGAAAGTCTGAAGTGATTCAAAGAACATCTAGGTAGTCAACATGGAGTCTGGAGTTTCAACATTTTGGGTCAAATTTGAAAATCTCAAATGGGCTCTAGTTTTGGGTCTCTTGCAGTTTTTGGTTCTCTTTTGGCCCAGTTTTTGGGTAGTCTACATTTTTTTCAGTCCAGTTTTTATACGCCGGGGTTTTCTATTTTTCTCTGAATGGGAGTTTTGGGTAACACGAATCCAATCTCTACAAATCAGGTGGCCAAGGAATAAGCAGTTACTCAATCCGGATAGCTTGTTGCACAGAAAGAACAACTGTAAACGGCATTTTATAGATATTACAATAATAAAGCCTATGTAAGTAATTAACTTGGTGTTAACTTTGTATATTTTCAAATTTATTTTTATCTATATAATCCATTAACTCTTATTTCTATTGTCAGCTGACACATGAATCTATATAAGGAATTTGTCCTTTGATAAAAAAAAAAAAAAAAAAAATTGACACATGAATCCTATTCAACAAAAACTATCCTTTCCAATTTTCTCGTTTCTCCCTTACCAATGGTTTTTTCACTTCCAATTGTACATATTTTTGTATAATACACTTTTTTTATTGCATGTTACACAAAATATTTTTTTGACAAGTTGCACTTGCATTGAGTGTGCCTCGATAGCTAGTCTTATAACTTTTGCCAAATTTTTTTTTTGTATCATGAAAATGTGTTTCAATTATTTTTTTTCAAATCATTCTAACTATTTTTATTTGACACATATCATATTATGCAAATTGCTATACACGTGTGACATCATTCAAAGTGTTAAGCTATTAATCCAAAAGATTTTTCCAAATAATCTCCAATTCAAACACGCTACCATTCGAAAACCTTGGATAAGAGATTATTTGAATTATTTTGTGACATAATGTATATGAAATGAAAAAATAGTTCAAAATTATTTTTATAATGCAAGCAGATTAATATTTGAATTTTTTTCGAATTATGGTATCCAAACGGACATATACCTCTAGTAATAAGATTGTCTGCCATTAACTTGAAGGATAAGAGGGAAAACAAATTTAAAAAAATGATTTTATTTTTCTCTATCTTTGTCCGTGCAAATAAATCTTATGGGTTGCAATTTTTCAAGTAAAAAATTTTATATTTTCTGTGAACATATTTTATAATTTTTTTTTTAACATACATCAAATTACTATAATATATTTTTTTAACAAAACCTCAAAAAAATTCTTACCGTAGAGATACCGACCCAAAACAGGGCGGAGTATGGCTATGGGCATTCAGTCTCCTAATCCGAGTAGAAATCATCTGGCCATTCATCGGATGGACCCAAATCCACGCGTCCTAAATATCTTTCCCCTCTCATCCTCCTGGCTTATTTATTTTACACCACAAGTCCTCCCCCCTACCCTTCCCAGGTACATTATATTCCCCCGCTACCGCTAGGGTTTCCTCCCCTTTTTGGCCCTAATCACTTCTCCTCTCTCTTTTTACCAAATCCATCTCAAATCTAGGGCTTTTTCCTTCCTTTCCTAGAAATTAACCATGATGCAACCGGCCGCCACTATGGTTCCGCCACCACAGCAGCAGCAACAATACCAACAACAACCACCACCTCCGCAGCAGTGGATGGCCCCGCAGCAGCAACCTCCGCAGCCGCAGTATCAGGTCCCGCCGCCACAGCAGCAGCAGCTGCCTGCTTATTATTATCAGCAGCCTCCGCCTCAGCAGCAGCAGCCACCGCAGCAGTACGCCGCCTCTGCTGCCGCGGTTGGTGCCGATCCCAATGCTTCCGACGGGATCCGCAGCCTCTGGATCGGAGATCTGCAGTACTGGATGGACGAGCAGTACCTTCTCACTTGCTTCTCCCAGACCGGCGAGGTCTGTATATATAAAGTTTTCTTTTTTTTTCTTTTGACATATAATTTATGATTTACTTTCTTATATCTTGTTTCATCGCCATTAATGAATAGGGTTTCATAGGGGAATTTAGAAGATTTGTTTTTGGCTATGAATGGAAAGGGTAAATTTTGGATTGAGCTATCTATAGGTGTATCCGAAATTTTCACTTGAAAAGCAAATGGTTATCTTTAAAATTGGGCATCCAGAATATATTTGTACTTTAGCTTGTTTATTTATATGTTTGAAGGGGGTTAACAAGGAGGGCCTTCAGTCTGAGTTGTAAGGATGATTCTGGATGTGTTTATACATGTTACATAATGTGGTTAGCTTGTAAAGGGAATTGGGTTTCCTTTTCATGCGGCGACGTGCCATGGAGATAGGAGTTTTTTTTTTGTGAATAATGATCGTGGGTGGAATTTTCGTTGTTGGTAGGGTTGTATAATGTGAATATGATTTACGAAGCTTAGGTGCAATGTGGAATTCATGATGTCGTTTTTTTTTTAAGGTTTCAAGCTGAAAAATGAAAATATTTATTATTTTTTTGAATTAATCTACTTTTTGCATGAAAAGTTGGTGCTTTTCTTTTTTCCTTGTGCGTTTTTGCTGAGGACCATTGTTTGAAGTGCTTCTTTTGATGCATATTATCTACTCGGTCATGTTTTGCTAGTGAAAAGTGACATTCTCGCTGAGTTACAGATACTTTTGAAAAACTTAGAAGCTTTGCAACACAGTGTTGGATTTGTTCTTTGTTTTTGATTCTTGCATCTAGCTGCTATTCCTGCCATGTTTATTTCCTTTCGTGGGAATGTGCCTTTAATAATTGCTGTTTGATACTCAGGTTTTGTCAGCTAAAGTTATTCGCAACAAGCAAACGGGTCAGTCAGAGGGTTACGGATTCATTGAGTTTGTGAGTCATGCTGGTGCGGAGCGGAACCTACAGGCATATAATGGAACCTTGATGCCAAATGTCGAGCAACACTTTAGATTGAACTGGGCATCTATGGGTGCAGGTGAAAAGCGTTCAGATGATTCTCCTGATTACACAATTTTCGTTGGGGACTTGGCAGCTGACGTTACTGATTATATGCTTCAAGAGACATTCAGGGCCCACTATAATTCAATCAAGGGTGCAAAAGTTGTAACTGATAGGATTACAGGGCGTACAAAGGGTTATGGATTTGTAAGGTTTGGAGATGAAAGTGAACAATTGCATGCTATGACTGAGATGAATGGAAAGTTTTGTTCAACAAGGCCCATGAGAATTGGTCCAGCTGCTAACAAGAAAACTATGGGTGGCCAGACAAAAGGTATGTTTAACTTTCATCTCGTAATTCTGATGGCTACATTTTTGCCAGAACAATTAGTGAATGGATGTTGATTTGAGATTTATGGTTTGATACTGCTTTATACTTGGAGGAATTTTGCAGGTCTCATTCTGTATGATTGGCTTTGCTTATTGAGTTTTTTGTTGACTGGGGCTGGATTTTAGTTACTTGGAGATGTTGCTTTCTTTTGATCTCACTTGATTAAGTCTGCTGTTGAGATTCCTTTCTTTCACTTAGCGCTTGAATTCTTGAAGATAATCGCCAGTTTAAAACCTCATTTCCTTCGCGTACTTTAAACATATTCGGATGTAAAATTGGAACTTGCAAAATCTTATAAAACTCCGGTTGTCTCAAAGCAGGGTGTCAGGAGGCTCTATCATTTAGGGGCCTGGAGCTAATTTCAGCCGAATGATAACCCTTTTAGTGCGTGGTCTGGCGTAGGTCAGTTTTATATTGATGTCGTTAATTTTGTCTTTATTTCGGTTCCTCTTGGAGTTACTTTACTACAATTTTTCGATTCTCTTCTTCAATTCAGTTTGCTTACTTACCGTTCAGCCAAGTTACTTTCCTTTAATTTCCAGCCACTTTTCATATTTTAGTACTGTCATTTTCTTATTTATGAAAGCCAAGTATTAATCTCCCTCTACAAATTCCTTACTGCAGTTCAATTTGGTTTTGTTTAGTTTACTCCTAATACCCATCCATTAGTTTTATTTACCTGTGTCACCATCAGAGCGCTTCATTGAGCTATCACAGAAATCACTGGGTCAGGTCTTGAAACTTTGCCTAGTCGGTATGCTTTCAGTTTTTGACGTGGTCTTGTTCTTGTTAATAGCTTTTTGAGGAGTAGGTGGATGTAGTGGTTCGGTCAATCCATTTATGTTCAATTTGCTTTTATCCACTTGACCTTTCCCTTTCTTGCAATAAGCTTTGCTTCCATATGAACTTCTCTTTGCAATGGGGGAAAAGCGAACTATCCTGAAATTGTGTCTTATTATCAAGTCTGAATGGAAGATAATTTAGTTAAATGTTGAGTGTTTCTGTGTGTATGTAACCTCTTCTTTGTTATTGTTTATAAGTTAGACTTCCTCACTGCTGTTGATCTATGTAGCTCTTAAGAATCAATTTGGTTTTGCATATTTGGACTTGTTGGCGGAAGAACCTATTCATCATGATGTTATTTTACACTGGACGTGGAAGCTTTATGCAGTCTATTTTTCCATTCTAGAAAAGAAAACCAAAAAGATCTTAGCTGGATTATTCTTTTCCATTTTCTATTTGCCCTTTCTTTAATCTTCGTGTTACATTACTATCATTGCACTGGAGCAAATAATATTTGCAATTTCATTTTCATCTCACGTACTTTTTATATTGCCCATTAATGAGTGTCCTAGATGTCTGGTCATTTGATGTGCAAATCTGTGTTCTTCATTCTTCTGATATGATTGTCTTGGAGCTTGTTTGTCAGAGGTCTTCTACTTGTCAGTTTGTTGTTTGCCAATTTTTTTGTCTAGTTTGATGTTGTAAACAGGTCATCGTGTATATTCTGGGCGGCAAGTGAATTTGTTATTTTCCCTGTTACCCTCATATTTGCTTTTAATTTTGCAGCTTCATATCAGGGTACTCAAGGAACTCCGAATGAGGATGATCCATCTAATACAACAGTTAGTATATTGTGTGATATGATATATCTGCTTTTCTGAGAAGTATTTGCTCACCATTGAGTAATTATAATTGCAGTTGTTTGTTGGGAACTTGGACTCCAACGTCACAGACGAACATCTGAGGCAGGTTTTTGGGAACTATGGGCAGTTACTTCATGTGAAGATACCAGTAGGAAAGAGATGTGGTTTTGTTCAATTCGCTGATAGGTAAATGATTTGAAATATCACCAATGGAGAAGAGATGCGGTAAACAATGTTCTAAATGTTCTTTGCATTCATTGCAACAGAAGCTGTGCTGAGGAAGCTCTGCGTTTGTTGAATGGAACCCAACTGGGTGGCCAAAACATTCGACTTTCATGGGGCCGTAGTCCTTCAAACAAACAGGTTCTTCATGTTTAATGAGCTGCCTGCTTTTACCATGTTTTATTCCAATGTTCTGTGATGCTGAAATACGACATGTATATTCTGTTTAACTATTCAGCCTCAAGTGGATGCAAGCCAATGGAATAGTGGCTACTATGGCTATGCTTCTGGATATGAAACCTATGGGTATGCTCCAGCAGCCCAGGACCCAAACATGTACTACGGAGGGTACCCTGGGTATGGGAATTACCCGCCACAGACACAACAGCAGCCGCAGATGATGCAGCAACCTCAGGTTTTCTTTCTGCTAATTTTTCAAAAAGATAGAATGAGAACTATAAAGCAGAACTTTTTCTTTTACCCTTATTTACATCAGAAAACTACAACTATTTTCATAAAGGAAGCATCTGTTTACCCGGGACCTTTATCCCTCCCTGCCCCGAGACGGGTGGTGGTTCCCTTAGGGATACGTTTCTCGCTTCTTCTTTTTTCTTTTTCTTTTTTGGGGGCTCTTGGTTTGATCTGGTGTAGGAAATGACCGGTGCCAATTATTTTGCAGTGATTTGCTGGAAAGAGATGGTGATGGAAATCTTCTTGGTAATTTGGACCATTTCTTGACAAGAGAGGCTGCGCAGTTGTGGGAGTTATGCAGTGTAGTGTAGCTGGATATCATAGACTGGGCTAAATATGAGTCGTGTTCTGCCAGAGGCATCCTTTGGCTGTGTACTCCATTTTTTTTTCCCCATTTCCGGTTTATAAATTGGTCTAACAATTTGGCTCTGTAGTGCAAGCTGCATGCATGTGTTTATACGTTTGGATTGGTTTATTGTTCAACTTTTAACTCTATTTTCGACCCGTGCCTGGTTTGAGTTATGTGCTCTTGATTGCCGTATAGATTTTGCTGTCCTGTTCTGAAATTAATTACCCCGGTGAACCCTGAACTGGCAAATACTATATATCAAACCTGGATAAAACCAAAGTAGGTCGAGTCTTGTTTAAGCGAAGTCTCGATCGAGAGTGAAAATCTCTGTTTCATTTGACTTATACCAAGGCTTTTCTTGTACTCCCTCAACCAAGAATATGAAGGTCACGATTTCAAACAAAAGTTGATAATAGACGCTCCTCTTATTTCGTGGAGTGATAAAGTAAAAGATTGAAAGTTTGCTTTGAAAAAAATGGGAGTACATACTGTGACAATTGTCTGTTAATGTACGACGAGGATCCCCGGTATGGAAGCAAATATTTGACAAAAAAATCTTTTAAAGAAAAAGGAAACAGAAAAACAATGTGGGAAAAACCATACACGTAACATGCTTTTTTTTTTTTGGAAGGACGCATGCAACATGCTTCGATGCATCTATTGAACAGCCTCTATGGTCTCATGTCCAATTGGACTTACTACTCGGGGAAAGGATATAGCAGACAAAATTGCTTCCAGTACCATAGAGTCTGGACACAGAAATTTTCCAATTTTTCATGTTCTTAATACGAGGTTTCTATCTTCCTGAAGTACAGGACCGTCATCTGCACTCGTGCTAATGGAATTTCAAGCTTTTCACAGCAACCCATTACTGAAAATCCAAAAGGGTCCCGTTTTCATATATACACGGAGAGGAGATCACCATCCAATTGTGTGAAGAACCTCTACTACCGAAGACGACCCACTTCAGACAGTTTTGAAATTAAAGAGAATACAAGAACATATTCTTGGTCTGTAAAAATGCTAGTACATATCCATTACAAATTGCAATCTTTTTCAGTAAAACCATACAAGAACCACATCGATACAGAACAAGGAATCCCTGCTGGTTCTTCATTCCATCGTTTTGTATTGTTAAGACTGCCCGAAAGTTAATTAGGAGTGAATAAATTGGGTACTCGTAATAGTTTTAGTAGTATTTTTATTAGATTTCTTAAAGTTTTATTAGTATTACTGGTATGGAATGACTTTGATATTTAGGTATAATGGACAAACAATATGTCAGGACAAACAATTATTGGTCATTTGACTACCACTAAGTGAGATGCGAACGGTCCTCTTTTAAATTCGAAGCCAAGCACATAAATCAAGACAGCAAGGCATTTGATATCACGTCGAAACAGGTTCCTCATTTTTGAGATGGGAAAGAAAAGAAATGGATCTTCACTGCATCTAGACAGGGATTAATATTAGTCCAAAATTTCAGTGCAGGGTCCTAAGTTAAAGGACATTAGCGTACTAGCCATGCCCTTAAATCCTTTTATATCTCTGCCACTAGATCCCAAAGAGTTGATAAGCTGCCCAAACGGCTCACTCACTCAACCGTGTAGACAGATCAGAGGGAGGGTTCTAACATAAAAACTTTAAACCATTAAAATGTGGTCACTTATAGATATTTGTAAATGTGGGATTCCATTGAGCCCTTCAATTGTTTTTAGGGTTGATCATCTACAACTTTCGGAAATGGGTGAGGGGACGAAAGTGTTATTCATTTGACAGATTCTTGGAGCAAACTTTTTTTTTTTTCTTTTCTTTGGTACGTGATTCTTGGAGCGAGCAAACTTATTAATCAGGCACATTTGAAATCGTAGAAGAATTTTAAAGCAGGTTCTTAATTAAGCTCGTAGCTTTGTAGATAAAAAAATATGCATTGTTTCTCTAGCTAAAACTTCCTCCTCGGTACTTGCTTAAAAATGGGCAGGAGAGTTGACACCAGAATTCAATTATTGCTCTATCTTAGGACCTAACGACTTGGGAAGGTTCCTATGCATATTCTTGCCCGTGTTAGATGTACCGAATCACTACTAGCTATTTAACTAGTAACATTATAGCAGATTAGAGTAATCAATCATGAGTCCTATTTCAACTGGGGATGACTTGGAGTCTCTTGAAATTTCGTCCTTAATTGATGTATTGTGTAAGACTTTCTTGTGATGTGCCCATGCACGGGCGGGAGTTAGTCTTGTAGTCTTTGTGATTTGATTTGTTTAACATTGGACTAAGAGATACAAACGGTTTCCATAAGGAAACGTTTTCTTCAGTCGCTTAATTTTTGATGATACAAAATTACATGAGGATTACAGGCTACGATCAAAGTCAAATGGTTAGATAGTTTGTGTAACTTGAAAGGAAGATGGTTAATCATTGTACCTGCCAACCTAAATTCTATTCACAAGGAGACTGTCACGTATGCAAAGAACACAGGACCGAGCTAAACAGTAGCCAGCAACCTAGTGAAGAGGGGGAATAGCCAGAGATAGTAGCCGACAGCTCTGGTAGTTGACAGTTGAGGAGGCCAAAAAATGCAATAAATTAGCCAATTGCCTTGAGACTTGAGAGTGCCTGGAGCTGGAGGATGACATTTGCAGGCTTGTCCTTGTTTTATTCCATTTTTCCTCAATCGTTTCAATTTTCAAATTTTATTTATTTTTGCACCGCTGACCATCATCCTTCATGCCGGTGGAGTTTTTAACCATAATATATATATATATATATGAATATGAATGTTGTCTGGCCGAGCATCCCTTTGACTTTTGGGCCTATACACGCAAGTCATCACAAGCTCATCCTTCTCATTTTTCTTACAGAAAATCCCATAATAGTAAGTCGCTGTCCAGAAGTAAGATTGGCGTGAGGTTTATATGTTTGGCATTATTCGTTTGTAGGTCATGTTAGACGTCTCAAGAAACATATTATGAACCTTTTGTTCAAAAAAAAAATTATGTTTGGCATTAATTATTCGCGATAATCTCTTAACGGGAAAGTAAAGATTATGCCGAACCCTCAAATTCTTAGCATGAATTTTAGAAGCGGTACCTGCCAAGGAAGCAGTCAAGCAACACCATTTGGATTGAGGTTTCCTACGATTGCTAGATGAAGTGCACCATGCAATTCATGAATTTGAATTTGAACAGATATGATTGAAAAAGGTAGAAACCCGAATTCATACTAGTTTGAGGAGCAGCCGCAATCAGGACACATTTGCTTGATGATTGATTTTGGATTGCTGGAGGACTTAGTTTTATCATCATATAAACCATCATTTCCTTATTATGTGGAAATGGCCTCTTTTCTCCATCGTCAATTAACATTGTTTTGTTCATAATGAACAAGGTTTTTAATAAATTAACAGCAATCCTAAAGAGGTCGGTTGCTTAACAGATTATGAATGGTAACTAACTAAGATAGATGATACACTTCATCTGCAGAAAGATATCAGTAACTATCAGTTGTAAGTCGGGTGGTGGGGAGCTTTCTTGCGATCAAAGGATTAAACATCTTTGGAGTAAAGGCTCAACAAAGAGTTCTTGTATACCTATGCTTAGTTGGTCCGTGTGGTTTAGGACATTGATGGAGTACGCTAGCTATAATCCTGTGTTTTTAGTTTTTACCATTAACTAGCGGAAACCCCATCTTATATTTCGTCTGTTAACCTTCTCTTCTCATATTTAGTCTCACACATGCTACAAACTTCATGAGTTACGTGTAATTTACAGTATTGTTTTTAGAAGATTATCCGCTTTGTCCATCAACCACAACCTAAAGGTCAACTATATATAACAGATAAGGTTAAACAACCTTATTAAATTTTTTCACCAGGTTTTCCTAGCCAGTTGATAATTGTCATTTTAAAACCCAATCATGTAATAATTATACACACAGTGGTGCACATGAATTGTTTCACCACCACATGACCTCTCCAAAGACCTTACTATAAATGTAGCATCAGCATTAGTTCACTGCCAACTTAATTAGATCTTCTTCCTCTAATATTTGTTCCACTCTCAAGTTTAATTTTTGGGTTTTTTTTTTTTTTGGGCTTTTCGTCCCCCAAAACCTAGGAATGAGTCTTCTGAGCAGAAGGTTTTCTTACTCTAAGTTGGAGATGGAAGATCCTGAAGAAGTAAGGCGTAGAAGAGCTCAATTCTTGATTTACAAGACTCTTCAACGAGCAGATTCGCCAAGAAGAAGGCCATCATGGTTGAAGGTTAAAACCAGCAAGTTGAAGATTAGAATTGGGAAGAGATTAAAGCGACTGAGAAAGAGCATTTTGTCCACCATATCTAATGCTGAAGCTGGTTTGCATAAGCAACTTATCTCTCATTTAAAAGCTTTCAAGTGTTTGCTTCGTAGTGAAGAGGCTTCCATCCTTCCCTGTAATTGATGTAGGACGGCGATTGGAGAGTGCTAAACGGGACACCTTTCTAATTTCTACAGTTCAAATGCAGTTAGTTGCTGATAAAATTCTGCAGCTTGATTCTTTTTTTTTTGGTTAAGCGCATTTATGATTAACCTTCCAAAAAATGTTGTTCCCCGACTCTAGTCAATCTCTTGTGAATATGCACATCTTACAAGTTACATCAAACTACTTGAATATATAGCAAATTTCCTTTATTCTTGTAGAGCTGAAATTGCTACAAGCTTGAATTCCTTTGCCACACACACGCAAAATGTAACTCTTATTGCTAATACTAATGAGCAACATGTCGGAGGGTATGCCCGGAGGAGCATGCAAACTGGATCAGGCACGTTCCCGTCCCAAGTCCTATAAATTTATGTTTTTTTCCCTTAATAGTAGTTCGAAAGTTTTCAGTTATTATATCCTTATAAGTAAAGGTTTTGGTCCCTTAAAACAATTTTAAAATCTTTTGAACCAACTCTTAAGTTATATATGTATATGACATTCACCCCCTCAAAGTGAATGTTCTGGTTCCGTCATTGAGAACGTTCGAAACATTTCGAGGTTTCCACTTTAAGCTTGTTCATTGGATAGATTATCTAGTGCTCCTTCCGTTTTAATTAGTTGTACATAGTGAGGGTTGTATATGGCTACAACTGTATAGTTAGTCAGCCCAATTGTTTACTGCAGCTGCATGAAGATTTAACTAGAGAT